AAAAAATTTGTATCCACCAATTTCGCTCATTTTTGCCTCATCGATAACCCTTAATGAGTAATGAAACATGCTGTAGTTAGTTTTCCCAAATAACGTATTCTTTTGTTAAAATTCGAGAAAACTCATTTTGCCCGTTCGAAGCTCAAAATCCACTTCCGGTAAAGCGAAATTTTACACAAATTCCATTGACTCGTACGTCAAACCACAACGATTTGGCAGCCTTTGTAGAACACGAATAGTTTTTATGACCCTTTCTTTCTTATAAGACGATAAATTTGTGAAAGCTGTAATAAGTTTGTGGCCAAAAAGGTATTGTTAAAAATAGGCCCTACTGACAATTTCTACCGTTCAAAATTATAGGGTTAAAATAATGCAAATTTTTACAATGCGCTATAACTTAAAATTCCGCAAATTGACTTTCTACGGCTTCACTAGGCCCCAATATATCAGAAAATCGAAACAAATCTCTGGGCAAACGATTTTAAGTAGCCCGCAAGACGCCGAGTTCAACCCTAATTTTACGAAAAATCGCGACATTCCAGTGATTAAAAATAGCGTGACACGGCCCGTCACGCCAGCGGTGTTAACGACAGATTCACTTTCAACATTCTATTCAACGCTGATCACATGCCAAATTCCAGCATACAATCTATATTACATCTTTCAATACACTTATCTTATTTAGAAGAGTCCTTTTGTTTGGATACAATATGTAGTGTAGAACTGCCCAAAAGTCGGCTTGTTTGAGCGACGTCGGCCCAACGACCGGAGCCCAACGAAAACAAACTTTAAACAAGTACAGGGGTGTGTTTTATTAATTTAAGCATGCGTCAAAAGGCATAAGTACGTTAAATTTAAGACGGGGATAACCAATAGTAACTAATTAGAACTCTTTCTTTTTTGTTGCGAGTTTTCTCTTTCAAGTAAATATGTATAAGTATAAATGTACGTTTCGATGTATTACTATCAAGCTTATAAAGTTGCATTGTAACGAACGTTTCAGAAAACATTTTAACTCGTTTCGATCGACGATGAAACACCATCATCAAAAACAAATCACCAAAAACTTTCCTCTACAGCAAAACGGAAAATAGAAAAAAAAGTGTCGTTTTACTAATGCTAAAGCAGGAATAGTTGCAGCGTGATTATGAGCTTTCAAAAATGGCAAATGCTCCTAAATGGACATCTATAGATCCCTTGCATCGCCATTGGAAAAAACTCTCTGGCCCACTATGAACTAGCCTATTCCAGGCGTAGTGGACAGTGGACAGTGGATAGTGGATAGTGGATAGTGGACAGTGGACAGTGGACAGTGGCGCGAAATGGGGAACGGAGGAAAACAAACGTGGAAGAGAGTAAGAGGGAGAGAGTAGGAGGACCTTTCGCCCTCTCTCCCTAACGCCGCCCCTTCGCCATATTTTCTAGCCCACTTTTCTTTGCGTTTTCCCAACTACCTGAAGGCCTGTTACAGGTTAACTACGTCCTTCATTTACAAATTTTTATGGTATATACCGTATTTATTCGATTAACCGCCCTGGGGGCTTATTAAATTTTTGGACCTTAAGAGTGGGCGCTTATTCGAGGCTGGGCGCTTATTAAATTTTCGCCATTCTCAGCAAGTGTAGTATGTTAGTTTTGCAACAAAACAATAAATGGTAATAAAAAAAGCGGAGATGTAACAAAGCAAGGTTTCTGTAAAATGCTCTGAGGAAAACTCCGTCTTCGGGAGGGTCTCTTTATTACTTATTATCTCTTATTTGAGTTTGTGTGGAAGGGAGTGGGACCGGTGGGGGTGGGCGCTTATTAACTTTGCTGCCTTTAGGATGGGCGCTTATTCGAGGTGGGCGCTAATTCGAGGTTGGGCGCTTATTCGAATAAATGCGGTATTCAACTTGAGCGTCGAGCACTTTTGGCGCTTTGTTATTGATCAGCAGGAACGGATTTGGTAGTACTAACTTTTCAACTGCTTTTAGACTGCAAAACTTTTTTTCTTTCTTGTTTTCTTTCTTTTATTTTTCTTTGTCATTTTCTATTGTATTTTTTAGACTTATTTTTCGATTTTCTCCCCAGTCTCACTCACCTCTCCCCTCCCCCGCCGTGCCCCCTCTGCTCCAGACAAGAGGGAACGACCATTTTGTTTTGCTCCAGACCATTACCTCGACTATTCCGCCTTCTTGGCGTACGCAAAAAGTACGGGCTGCTTTGTGGCCTGAAAAACTTTGCACTGATTGACGTTTTAGTGTCATGGAAACTCTAGCTGTAATACTGAACTGCAGATGACAGGTTAAAAGACTGAAAGTTCCTTTCAACAGCGTTTGGAAAGAGAACATCGTCTTTTCCGCAAAAAAAAAAAACAATAAATAAACAATAAAAATAGGGAAACAAAATAGAGTATAATACTAAACCTAAGAAGAACCTTGTAACGAACGAATGGGAACACCTAAAAAGGAAAGACAGACTTGCGGACTTTCCTCATCCTCCGTAACCTTAGTCCATGAAACTTAGACGCCCGAGCAGGCCTCCAAAACCTTACTTTTGTCTTTGTCACAGACCGAATACGAGAAGACTAAAAGCCTTAGTCCGCTTTACGTAAGTACTGTGTAGATCTCCAGAAGAATTGTTTGCAGCCGGCCCTCAAAACCCCAAGACACTTCGCCTGCTGCTGGCCAATATATAGGAAGGCTATTCCAAAGAACTGCTCCAAAAAAACTATTTTTCTTAACATTTGCCTGGGGTAGAGGAATAGCGAGTTTTCTGTTGGTGTCTCTTAATAAGTAATTAGAGATATTGCAACGATCTGCCCTTGCTACGATCTATTATGCACTTAACAAGACGCCTCAAATTACTTAAGATATATGACGCATAGTCTGCGATACACTTGCCTCTCACTGCTCTTTGACGAAATGTCCCTGGCGGCAGATAGCGATGAGAGGAAGCTTCATCGCAGGCTCTTGGCATCAAGGCTTTTCTACTATTTACATTGGTAAACCGGTCGCTTCACGGTTTGGGCAAATGGTGAGGAGAATTCAGGACTGATTAATTTTGATTCCGTTCGGTAATCGCGTTTACCATTTTCCTAAGTCAGTTTCGTTTAATGAAAAACGGCCGCGAAAGCCTGAAACTAATATTCAAAAAAGGTTTGAAGACATGAAATCCGAACTTCCGCCTGGAAGTTTCCAACCAGGAAAATAGACGATTGCCTTTTCAGACGTTCGTTTGTTTCAGGAATTTTCCACTGAAACGTCGAAAGCAACCCGAAACTGAGTTTATGGTAAGCCTGGCAAAGCACCAAAGAGTCCTCTTAGTTTGTTTTAATGGGTCATAGTCATGCAGAAGCTTCATGATTCATACACGTTGTCATACAAGTATATGCTCCTCTTGGGGCATCCACGTAGCTTTTTTTTTCAGTTTTGAGAGCCCGCAAGGGTAAAAACTTCAAAAAGAACTATTGCACCAATACTTAGGGGGTGTTTACATGACACCGGGGCGACTTTCGCCCCGGAGCGAGTTCACTCCGGTTCCCTCTCATGGCTCTATATTTGTTTACATGATACCACCACAAAATGTCATGCCGGCGCGAGTCACCCCGGAGTGAGTTCACTCCGGTTCTTGTACCGGGGCGAGAATCTCACTCCGGTACGAAATCTCGCAGTGGTATCATGTAAACTGCGAAACGACCACCCGTTTCGGTGTGAAATCGGTCTGCCGGTAGACTGGAACGGGTAGCGCATGCGTAATGTTTACGATTTTGAATCACACGTGTATTTTATCAACATGACGTGTACCTTCAAATAACGAGATATGAAATGACCCAGTCATCATGTAAACGCGATACGAAATAAAAAAGTCATCCCGGTATGAGACTCTCGCTGGTGCGATTTTTTTTTCTAAAATATTTTTATTCTTTAAAATTGCTTCAAGGAAATTAGTTTTTATAAACCAAATGGCATTGATTGGCGATGATTTAATTCGCAAATATCTCTTAATGCAAAAATTCGTTCAGTAATCAGTTTTAGTTTTTAGATTTTGTTCTGTTTATATACCATTTTTTTAGGGAAATGGCCAGTCTGAAACTGAACATGAAAGTGTGTGACTCTATCCCAAGGACCCTAAATGTTGTATCTGAAGAAAATGCTGCAATCAATGAGAATAATAGGTTTACTGAAAGATTTAATTTCGAACTGGCTTTTAATCTGCCTTTAAGTAAATTGTTTAAAGCATATCTATGGGTAACACTGGCGTGACGGGCCGTGTAACGCTATTTTTAACCACGGCAATGTCACGTTTTTTTTTGCAAAATTAGGGTTGAACTCAACGTCTTACGGGCTACTTAAAATCTTTTGCCCAGAGATTTGTTTCGATTTTCTGATAGATTGGGGCCTAGTTTAGCAGTAGAAAGTCAATGTGCGGAATTTTAAGTTATAGCGCATTGTAAAAATTTGCATTATTTTATCTCTATAATTTTGAACGGCAGAAATTGTCAGTAGGGCCTATTTTTAACAATACCTTTCTGGCCACAAACTTATTACAGCTTTCACAAATTTATCGCCTTATAATAAAGCAAAAATAAAGCAAGGGTCATAAAAACTATTCGTGTTCTTCAAAGGCTGCCAAATCGTTGTGGTTTGACGTACGAGTCAATGGAATTTGTGTAAAATTTCGCTTTACCGGAAGTGGATTTTGAGCTCTTCGTTTCGTTTCGTTTCGTTTCGCAAAATAGAATAAGCCCCTGTTTACAAAGACAGATGTCATCATTACCGAGACTAGAACTCCAACTAAAAGGGAGTACCCTGAAGCCGCCCCCTCCCCCTCCCTCCCCTCCCCTGCTTCTGGGCGGCAAACCTGATCTGGTTCCAAATTGTCTAAAAACTTGACATTAACACAGATCCATTATAATTGGATTATGTTTGTCGGAAATTGGCCGCGATCATTTTTTGGTAGCGACATATGAACACATGTCTTTAAACGCGACCCCTACCATTGTCACTATACTAAGAGACGATTAGCTGACATGAAACATGCACATGTCAAGCACGCTCTTTTTTAAAAAAGTCTGAGTTAGCCAGCGCCCGGTCGAGCGTCCAGTCGGTTCATCGACTACATACGAAATTTTATCAGCAAACATCTTATTAAGATTCCAGCGAAAAATGAACTTTCTCCCGTTCACAGCTTTTGCAATAGTTGCAGTCATTCAAGGAGGTGAGTTTTTACGATTCTTGTTCCTACACGTCTTGAGAAATATGCATATTTTTGCCTCCAAATCCGTCACAGTCCTTTTTGACGCACATCTCGTACTCTCGATTTTAGAATTAAAAGCATTCAAAATTCTTGCTTTTTAATATTGCAAAAAAATACTCTCTTTATACTCCAGAGGAGTGATTTGTTTAACTTGGTCAAGAAACGTTTAAAGGCTTCTCGAACTCACTAAATAATAGTCCGTAAAATAAGTCGTCGACATTCCAGACTAACGAAATAAGCGCTTGGCGCTTGAAATACAGTGGAACCCCGGTAACTTGAACTCTGAAGGGGAACGAAATACAGTTCGAGGTAGCGGATAATTCGAGATATCGGGGTAAATTTCAGTCAAATTTTGATCAAGAGAAAGAAAATTTAGTTCGAGTTGGCGGGGACGTTCGATTCATCGAGGTTTTAAGTTGCACATCTGTAAATACACATAACAGACTGCAAAACAGCCCGTACCGTATTTTTGCGTATTCAAGTGCGCGCTTGCAGTCAAACAAAAGGTGGAACGAGGCTGAAAACAGAGGGCAAGACTTGGGAGAGACGACAGCAATAGGAGGTTCATCAAAGGGGATGTATTATACCGGCAAAAAGAAACCCACGCTCTTACTTGTAAACTGCAAATGGTAATTATAAGAGAGATGATTTTACCTTTTTAGTTTATTCTTGAATCTGCTGTGGTGCGATTGTTTACAGAATCATTGCTTTCGCGTAGAGTTCTTCGCCCAAATTTTTTTACTAGTATATATGTGTTATTTTCAAATATGATAATGTTTTTAGTGAGTAAAGTTGTTCGCACAAATTTATTTATACAGTACTGTCTGACTTTTTCGCGAAACTCGCACAAGTGTATATACCGAAATGAATTTTGTTTTACGATGCGAAAACTATGTTCAAGTCGACGTTCCCTGCTAGCAGAGGTCTCTCACGACGACGCAAAAATGATAGCAGGGAAAAGTCGACGCTTTAACCGTTGTTGATATCACAATGCTTTATGTACAACTAGACTGCGAGCAGTCTCTTCTGTTTTTTTTTTTTTGGCAAAGATACTGCACGCGAAACCTAAGCACACGAGCCGGAGTAACCTGAAACGATTTATAAATAGAACATTACACTTTCTTTATATCTGGTAAGATTGCCTTGAATTCGTTTCCCCTGAGGAGATTTACGGCAGTTTCCTTTTTAAGATATCCTTAAAAGTTTTATTACTGAGATTACTGCTTTCGCAATATTGTTTGCAGTTAGTTGCGATGCGTGACTATTTTTATTGCTTGCAATCTCACCACAGACCAGTCAATTACCTGTCAACAGCTGTGCAATTGACCAATCGGTTACTCCGTTTGTGGGCTGATGGATGGTTTGTTTACCACAAAAGAGTCTTTTCTCGTCTGGTCTCAATCCCTTATTGTAATAATAACGTCGTCGTTTGCAATCGCGCTGGATGAGATAAGAACTAGATGGATTTTAAGAGAAAAGGCGGGCTGCAAGCTGTCTAAGTACAACCGGCGCGTGACTTTAACAGTGAAATGAGAGCCAAACCACGTAAAGCATTCTGAAATCAACAACGGTTAAAGCGTCGACTTGAACATAGTTTTCGCGTCGTAAAACAACTTCCATTTCACTTGGCATCACAGCCGGGCATCATAGCAGATTCAAGAATAGAACAAAACGGGAAAGATTGTCTCTCTTATTTAATTTCCATTTGCAGTTTACAAGAAGAGCGTGGGGTTCCCTATGATTATACAGTCGAACAACGTATTAAGCGGTCACCCTCTATTAAGCGGTCAGTTTTTAAACTCCCGAAAAATACTCCCCTTTATGTACTGTCATTTCGACCTCTATTAAGCGGTCACCTCTATTAAGCGGTCGCTGTCACCATTTGCTAAGTCCCAACGGGACTTTTTCTATTCTCTTGACCTGTGTTAAATGGTCACACGGTGTCAATTACTTGTTCATACAGTTTCAAATAATGTACTGAACACACGAGGTACAACAATTGATTTCCTTGTTTATTTTCGCAAATCATTAAAAAGCCGGAAAAGATTGTTTCTATTTGAGGTCAAACGTCTGATCTGATCAGCACTGGAGATCGAACTCTTTGAACTGTGTTTCTTGCAACCTGTATTAGGCGGCCACCCTGTATTAACCGGTCACTTCGCCATTCCCTGAGTGTCGCCGCTTAATACAGGCTCGACTGTACTTTACATTGTGCGTATTTTTAGCTCAGAGCTAGTGGAACCCCATGTCAATCCTGTCAAAGTTCGCTTAGCTGTAGCGTTAAAAGAGGAAGCTAAATGACAGGTATTTGTGAGAGACAGTGAGCATTGAATCTTATTGCTTTACCGCAGTTTAATACTGTAAAGGGCATACACCTGTAATTCACTGTAATGAAATCCCCAAAACCATTAAACGGTTTCGTTTCATTTTTTTGGTTGAAGGGGGGGGGGGGGAGCAAACCAAGTGGAGATTTTAGGGTAATGATATAGACGATGTACAAAAGGCAAGTTTAAATTTCGCCAGTGGGTCACTGGTGGGTGTTGGGTGTAAACTAGTACTTGTCATGATGTCAACTAACATTGGAAAAAATTCAGCTGTTTCAGAGGAAGGGACATGTCTTGACAGCTTATCGTTTTTCCGGCCGTTAGCTTGGCCAGTATGCAGATCAAGAACTCTTGAAATCCCTTTTCAAAAATAAAACTCCGAACTTAAGCTTAAAATATATATTGATCCAAGTGCATGATCAGCAGTGTCAGCAGTAAGAATAAAGGAAAACAGGCCAAAAGAAAATATAGTGATTAAAAAAAAACGGAAAAAAAGGACACAGAAACAAGAAAACAGCGTCGCCGGGAGTCGACCCTGGTACATCTGCACCTGCAAGAAACTTCTTGACCACTACACCACAGTGACGCACATGATGTGAAAAATTATGTTATAATAATAAAACTATTTTTCTCTGCTATAGACGTTGTTTAAAGCTGGTGGAGCTGTAGTTATAAATTCAAATATACATTTGACGAAAATTAACTTAAGTGCGTGCTTTTCCTCGACCTCGCTCGTCCTAATATCTGGAATTCTTTGCTAATTTGCACGGGGTCTGGCCTCTCGCAATGATTTGTAGGATTTGTAGAGTGGGGGGAAGAAAATAAATCAAAATTTTGCCTTATCGTAGCTCCGCTTACCGTGGAGAAAAGAAGTAACATAAGCGTATTTGCTCTATGTTTTGTGATTAGTTCAAGTCTTTTTGAAGCGACCTGGGCTTGTTCTTCGAGGACTAAAAGAGGAACTAATTCTTTGTGTGTTTGCTTCCGTAGTTTAGAGATTTTTAAAAGAGCTCATAACTTGCACACGTTTTTTTTTCTTCTTGTGCTTGTTTTGTTGTTGTTGCTGTTTTGTTTTGTTTTCATATGTTTTCGCGCAGTAAAGTGTTCACTGAACGTAACTTAAATTTAATATAGGGTCAATTTACCATACACGTTCCGAGAACATGAAGCCACCCCGCAGCATAGATTATTTTACAGCAAAGGTTCTTTCGTATCAATAACACTACCCGGAAAGGTGAAAATTTGAATTCAAAATAAGATTTTTAAGATGTTTAGATTGCTACCAACCCAACGATTTTCCCGGTAAAACTCCCGCTAAAAACACTCACAGTTGCTTGGATTTAACACTTATAATTTTCCTCTCACAGTCACAACGTACTCGGTTTACATCCCAAACTCAACTACTCTGGAATCTTAGAACAATGATATAAAGAAATCTATTTGCACGTATACTGATAAAAATCTACTTTTGCTTCATTGGTTAATTGTTCCTTAAAACGACTGATTTGACAGATACGCTGAATAATTAGATGTTTACTTTCGGCTTAAATTAACTTTAAAAGGTTTCTTATCTTTGAAGAATGACATCAAAAACTAATTACGACATAATCTGCAAACAAATGAATTCGGTTTTGTTTGCCTCGGCGATCATTTTCACTTCCTTCGATCACTCAAAGACTAGTATTTTCAGTTTGTGCGTACATCTGTGGGAAACATTAGGCGTCATCTAAATAAAATCGAAGCTTCAACATCCCCCCCCCCTCGGGAATACCCCGGGCATTTGACACCTTTGCCGTCCCGGGGAGGAGGGAATTTGATTATCAGAGTCTTCCATGGGGTGGGAAATTTGATCCCCATGCGTTAGGGGTAGGAAATTTGAACTGCACCCTCAATTTCATGTGAAATCTCTGGCGTGGCGAGCAGTCATGGGGGACGCGGTGTTAGAGGATTTTCGTGGAAAAGATTGTGCCTTTGTGGTCAATTGGTTACGAGGTTTGTACTGTATTTGAAGGTGTTTAAATTTTAAGATTTTTGATATTGGATTCAGGCTTTGAATAAATGCATGTACTAAGTTGTGTTTATAACGAATTACAATACCTATACCGGCGATTCAAGTGAGCGATGATGCATGTCAGTGAATTTGTCATGATGTAGTAATCTCAATAGGTGAGATTTTTTTTTAAGAACGCTTTGTATGTTGCATGACACACGAAGAAACTCTGAGCCTTCAGTGACCTTGTAGCAGCGATTTCCTCCGCTTTGCACGGGCCCGTAGCAAGCCTAAAATGACTGGGGGGGCTGAGCGAGTGGCCCACATTAACTCCCCCCCCCCCGCTTCGGTCCCTCTGTTAAAGCATACTTCTTGGTACATGTCAGATCACTACATTTGTCTACAATATCAGATCAACTAAAGAAAGCCTACGCGAAGGCCTCTGCACTGAGAAGAATAAGGCGTTTTCTTCCTCATGATGCAATGATAAAAGCCTCATCTCGAATACTGCAGTCCTTTGTTTGTAGGCATAGGTACGGGTCAACGCTACCACCTCGAAGATGGCAACTGTTACATTTTGAGAACATTAATCGGGCACAACAAGTCAATGTCATACAACGAGCTGCTCACTACGGCTAGCATGACATCCTTATATTGTATGCGCTTACACCAGGCGTTAATACTTCTTTTTAAATGCTTAAATGGTACGGGACCTACTTATATTGGTAGCCTTTTTAAATACAGGCGTACACCGTATAGGCTAAGAGGCGAGGGCTTGAATTTATCTTAAATTTAAGAAGAATTCTTTCACTTATTCATTAACTAAGTTATGGAACAGTTTGCCGTCTTTCAAGTGATGCTAATGACTTCAGAAGTAAATTATACGATTGCAGCTTTTTAGAACGTGTCTTATAGTGCACGATTGTAGCTTTTAACTTTTTTTAGAACGAGTATTATAGTTTTTCTAGTCACGTTTTTAGTATGTGGCTTTTTGGTCGGTTTTAGCTTTTTACATTTTGTTTTTATAACCAGGTTTTTTATATGTATATAGTTATTGAGTTGTTTTTTAAATTGAATAATATATAGCTGTAATTATTATAGATTTTATTTATATGCACGTTCGTATTTTGAACGAGTTTTTTAGCTCTTTGACGTAACGGGTTAAAGCTGTCCATTTTAGTAGAAAACTTCCACTTTTGTAGCAGAATTAAATTCAAGTCTGAAAATTTCTGAGGGGGCTCGAGCCCCCCCTGCCCCTCCCCCTGCTACGGGCCTGTAATGCACGAGACTTTTGTTCTTATTAAATACGCTAACAGTGTTTCTCAGTTTTTGTTATATTGAATGCGGGTTAGGCCCGTTTCCAACGTCGTGCTACTGCCGTGCCGAACTAAATTGATCGAATTAAATTCGACTTTAGCACGGCAGAAGCGCGACGTTTGAAACCAAGTCGTGCTACTGCCGTGTAGCACGGCAAGCCTTGCCGTGCTTTTGCCGTGCCGGACTCAATTCATAAGTTATAAATACATTAGAATATATTTAAAAGTTTGCTAAACCGTTTCTTTATTTTTGTGTTTTGTTTTTGGCAACAGCCTAACCTGAGATCAGGCCTGAATTTTAGCGGTTCTCATACATTCTCTCTAACGGCTACAGCGAAACGAAAATAGAGCCTGCTCTCAGGTTAGCAACAGCCGTTCTATTCGATTCAATTAAATTCGACGTCTGAAACCAAGTCGTGCTAGTGTCTTGCTGCAGTCGAGCTACAGTCGAGCCAGCTTAGCACGGCAGTAGCACGACGTTTGAACAGGCCTTATTTGCTGTATTTATAAAGATTTTGTTCGACAACTGAAGACGTTTCTGCCGTCCTTCTGTCATTCACTAGTATGTACCTGTGAAATGTCCCCGGGGTGGGGGCATTTGATCACCTGAGTGGACCCTACTGTGGGGCATTTGAACGGCATTTTGGCCCGGGTAGGGGGAAATTTGAACAATAATTTTCAAAAAAGTCAAATGCCCGGGATGTTGCCCGGGAGGGATTTTGAAGCTTCAATTTGACCGATACATTAGACTTCGAGTTGAAGTTCGAGTTAGACTTCGAGTTGGACTTTGAGGGCGCGATCCATTCAACCAACATTCAGACCGGTCCGACCGGGAAAAGAGGACCACCTCAAAAGGTGGATCTGTTTTTTCGAAACTTTTCCGGTTGGACAAAACCGATCCATTGAGTTTTGGACCGAAATTTCCGGAAACTTTGGTTGAATGGATCGCGCGCTGAGCTTCTAGTTATTCTTAGCGATCGAGGGATCCGTGAACCCCCGGTGAATTTCGACTTAAAAGTATATGTACACTATTGGATGTCATCCAATAGCAGTATAATACGTACGTTGTCTTTACACTAGGCTGTCAAGTAACCAAAAAATACGTGTGTAGGCCTAACTAAAATCTCAAGTAACTTAACTTTGCGTCTCATTAACGTCGGAAAGTTGAAACGATTTAAGAAAGTTTCAGGTGACTTGAAAACCAGCCTTAAAACCGAATTAGCGAACTTGCGGTTTAAAGCTTTGAGAAAGGCGAAGCATGTCATGTTGCGTGGGAAAAAAGGCTTAAGTAGACCTAAAGTAAAAAAGATAGGTTGTGTGTGAAGCTTTATTTTACTTGACGAATTTAAAAATATGGTATTTTTGTCATTTTGAGAAAGGCGCGAACCACATCATAAAAATTATGTATTGAAAAAGAAACAATGGGCGCGATCCATTCAACCAAAATTTCCGAAAATTTCGGTCCAAAACTCAATGGATCGGTTCGGTCCAACCGGAAAAGTTTCGAAAAAACGGGTCCACCTTTTGAGGTGGACCACTTTTCCCGGTCGGACCAGTTGGAATTTTGGTTGAATGGATCGCGCCCAATGACAATTATAAAATACAAACAATGATGAATATCGATTAATTCATTTTTTAACTCTCAACACCTCGTCGACAAAAACCTACACTCCCAGTTTTGTCGTTCGTGACTTAACGTTGACAGACAGGAGCGTAGAGTGCGTGGTGAACTATCCTGCGATCAGGCTTTTTTTTTTTCGGGAAAGCCAGCAACGAGCAAAAAAAAGGGGAGAAGGACCGCATAATCGCAAGTTTGCAGCGAGATGACCACCGCGTTTTGCGCCTGGCTGTCGTGCACTTCGTGTACGGCATAATAAAGAATTTCCTCGCGCATTCTTATTCATATTTTAAAGAGTTTCTTTCTCATAGATGCAGAAAAACTGGTTTCGAAGCTGTAATTTCACGCTTTGATAGCTTTTTTTTTCCTTTTTAGCCCTCGCCTTGAAATGCCACCAGTGTATGCCAGACTACAGCAGCATCATGAATATCGCGCAGCAAGGTTCAAACAGCTCAGGCATGAGCTTTTGTGCCAATCCCAGTGAAACTATCGATTGCAGTCAAGATCCATTTATAGGAAGCGTGGCTGATTCCTGTTATACAGCCCGTGTAAACATAAACACGTCACTTCCCATCGGCAACATGGAAGTCTATGTCCTCAACTGTTCCGTGATGTCATTCTGTGGCATGCTTAAGAATCAAACCTGCCAAACCTTACAGTCAATATTTAAAGGTATTTCTATGTTCGACATTGAAAGTTGTGATGTCGAATGCTGCCAGGGGGACCTTTGCAATAATCCATCCTCATCGTCTCCAACACCATCAACTGAATCACCATCATCATCACCATCATCAACACCATCATCCACTGATTCTCCTGTCAGCACTGGTACCACTGTGAAGTCGTCGGTGAAGAGCAATGTTCCATCAGCAACCACTCTGTTTGGAAATCTGGTTTTGATGGCTTTGACTGTTGTGAACTTTTAGAGAAGTGGACACTTTCTCATTAGAGTGAGAGACAGCACTCTCTTTTGTTATGTTTAGTTTTTATTACCAGTTTTTACATTTTTACAATTTAGAAAGAGACTCAAACAAAAATCTGATTCTGTAAGTTACCAAGTAGTCTGCCTCTTTAGCTCTAGCCTTTGCTAGTTGATAAGAGGCGAAACCGTTGCCCCAACAATAGAGACCTTAAGCAACAGGGCGGGAAGAGACGAGGAGTCTGGGGCGAGACCGCCATCGCGCTCTACTCGCTACTACAACTACATCGCGACGGCAACTTCCCGCAAAAATATGAAAATGAGAAAATGGCGTCTTTTGCAAAAGCAGATAAAACAGAACTAAACAAGCAAAGTGAAAGGGAAAAAAAGTAAAATAAAGGCATGAAAAAACAGGTTTACGAGTAGAGAAATTCTAAAGCAGTTGCGACGAGAAGGAGACGATACTCGTTACATTTGGAATTAATCTTAAAGAAAAGAGCAATCCGTTTAAAAACTCATGCATGGCCTTTGGAAGCATAAATATACTTTGTAGATCAAAGAGAATTTGCTTGAAAGCCACCCATCACTCTGCAAGTTTCTTGTCATTGTTCTCTTTAGTGAACTAAACACCCTTGACATGACTTCTGACGGTAGAGGACAAATAATTACTTAAGCTTAATAATTTTCCTGTGTTTGTTTATCCATATGTTTTTCGGGAAAATTAAAACAAACGACTTTACACAAAGAATTATTCCTATCACAGATTTTGCTTTACGTCATCTGCTGTAAAGAATATTGCATTTGCTCCGAAAAGAAAAGAGCAATCAGCATAGAATAAGCATTAGGGATCTTAGCTTAACGAGACGGTTTATTTAAGCTCGAGGCTTTCTCTGCTTCAGGGACGACGTTTATCTCAAAATGTCTTCTAAATACTTTAACACTGAACACCAGAACGATGATTCTTTATGATTCTTTCGAAAAATCTGGTAAGTCGAAGTACAAAAAGAAAAAGTTTGGCATGAGAAGCGACGTTGCCTGCACAACGTGAAAACAGTGAAAATGGCGTTCTTGTTGTGAAGACGACGGGAGATTGCAGACAACTTTTTTCGTTCTGCGCATGACTGAACCAGGAAATGGACTTCCGGTACGCCGTCCTCGTGTCTCCTGTCCTGGTGCTTAAGTTCTCTCATTAAAACGTGGCTCGATATAGTTTTTCAAGGTCAATACCTCCCAAGTTTGAGCATACACTACGTCGCCATAAGCGCAGATTTGGTAAAATTGACACCACAGTTGTCTTAGATAAAGATGAAACTTTGTTATGATCAGGGTTGCAATGACATCGGAGTTGTCATAGCAACGAAATGACGCCATTACCCATTTTACTTGCGGCAGTATTTCTCGGCACTTGGAACTGTTCTTCCAAAATCGTTTACTGGAGCTTTTTCCTACAATAGCCGCCTCGATGTTCGTGAAGTTTAAGCGAAACCTGTAAGAGCGTTATCAAGAAATTTTGGGAAGAAGTTTTTATGGCTAGAAATACGGTAAAAAATGGACAATCTTGATGTTCGACTGTTATCTGTACTAAACGAAGCGCTTTTGGCATGCAATTTCACCTCATAGTAGTTTCAATCTTTTTAAAAACGTGTGTGAAAGATCATGGAGATACCTCCCGCCGATTGCTAGAAAGAAGGATTTGATTACCATGTATCAAGGCGCTCTTTATAGCAGTAGTGTAAACATTTCGGTCTACTTTAACAAATTAGCGAATAATTTTTAAACCGCTCGATAAATTTTTTGGAAAATTTAAAAATCTTGAGATTAACCGTCGTTTTAGATGACCTGTTAGTTTCAAGATTATTGATATATTGTAAGGCAGTAAAATAAGGGCTTGAATTCGCTAATATTTTGTCAAGAGTTTTGTGTTTACAAGTGATAGCCTCTCATTATTCAGGGTATTGTCTCCAAAATTCATATTTTCGTGCGCAACAATAGTTAGCATTTTTGCATATGTCAAATGCATTGTTAATTACTGCTTTTCACGTGAAAATGAAACCTTGAGACAATACCGCTGAATAATCGGAGACTCTCACTTATAAAGAAAAAATTTCTGACAAAATTTTAGCGAATTGAAGCCCGTATTTTACTACCTTACAATATATCAATACTCTTGAAACTAAGAGGTCATATAAAAGGACAGTTTATCTCAAGACTCTTAAATTTTTTAAAAAATTTATCGAGCGATTTAAAAATTATTCGCTAATTTGTTAAGGTAGACCGAAATGTTACATTACCGCTAATAAGAGCGCTCCGATATATACTAATCAAATCCTTCTTTCTAGCAATCGGCTGGAGGTATCTCCATGATCTTCCACACACGTTTTTAAACAGATTGAAACTACTATGAGGTGAAATTGCATGTCAAAAGCGCTTCGTTAAGTACAGATAACAGTCGAACTTCATATAAACTTCTTCCCAAAATATCTCGATAACGCTCTTACAGATTTCGCTTAAACTTCACGAACATCAAGGCGGCTATTGTAGGAAAAAGCTCCAGTAAACGATTTTGGAAGAACAGTTCCCAGTGCCGAGAAATACTGCTGCAAGTCAAATAGGTAATGGTGTCATTTCGTTGCCATGACAACTACGATGTCATTGCAACCCTGATCATAACAAAGTTTCATCTTTATCTAATACAACTGCGGTGTTAATTTTTCCAAACCTTTGCTTATGGGGACGTAGTTTACGCTCAAACGTGGGAGGTATTCACTCTAAAAAACTGTATCGAGCCACCTTAAAATGGCTGTCGTTTTTCTGATACTAGCACCGTACCTTATACCATATAAAATTTAACAATTAACGAATGAGGTTGAGTATCTTATGAAGAATTACGGAGATCGAGAAGGGTGTTATCCGTCGAAGAAGGCTGCACTTTTGACGTCATCGGTTCATTAACCGCAAAATTCTTCCAAATTTGGTCATCAGTACGCTGGTTATGGTGAATTGTGCGCGTGCTTTTAGCCAATCAGAACCGGGGAAATGTTTTGAATGAATAATAATGATAAATTTGACACTTTCTCCGCTAATTTTTATCGTTTTATTTTATTATTCGTTCAAAATATTTACCCGATTCTGATTGGCTAAAAGCACACGCATAATTCACCATAACCAGCTACTCATGACCAACTTTGGTAGAATTTTGCGTTTAATGAACCGATGACGTCAAAAGTGCACCTCAATTTGTACCCTGTTTAGGACAACTCCTAAATCGATCGTGCATGAAACGCCCTGTTTATAATTAGAACAGACTCGCACAAATCGCGCACACTGTTTAGGACAGACTTGCGCGAAATTGCATACCCAGTTTAGGACCTAAACGGTTATCATTAGATCCCATCGACCTTAGCCCCTTCACCTCATGAAATTTACACAAGGTAGTTTTCTCCTTTACTAATTAGGGTTAAGCAATGCATTTACAGATTAGGGTTATGCACTGCCTCTACTGATTAGGGTTAAGCATTGTTTCGAAACTGGTTTGGTTCTTTTTTGGGGTTGGGGTTGATGCCATATGTACTTAAATTATATCATTTCCGTTTAGCAAATCCTCAGTGGTCTAGTGGTTAGCGTAGCAAACTGGACCATCTGGGTCGTTGGTTCGAATCTTACTGTCTCTCATATATATTTTTTTTCTTTCAATTTGAAGAGACTTGCACTTTCATGAACTGTTCCAGCTTGAAATATCATCTAATAGCCCTTTTTACCGATACGGCGATAATTCGATTTGAGGAGTATTTTAGGATGCCCAGGGGGCATGAGCACATTTCGTTTGTATATTTTCGAGCGCTTTTCGGGACATTTTTTCCTAAAGTTTTCTTAGAATAAGTTTGTAATGGGAAAAAGATCGTTGTGCCGTGTTTCGATGTAATAATGATCGCCTTTTTCCCGAGAAATATACAGTGAAAGCAAGAGAGATCCTCTCTTGAGTGAAAGACAATATTTCCAATGCTAAACTAGAAAAAGGCGATCATTATTACCTCCAAACACGGCACAAGGATCTTTTTTTTCCCATTACAATCTTATTCTAAGAAAACTTAGAGAAAGCGTTCGAAAATACAAACGAAATGTGCTCATGCCCCCTGGGCATCCTATAATACTCCTTAAATCGAATTAATTCAATATGGCCGCCGTATCGGTAAAAAGGTCTATTGTGATGTAAAAGCAGAAAACAGTTCTTCCTTGTGTAAATTTCATGAGGGGAGAAAGGGGCTACGTCCGATGGGATCTAATGAGGACAGAGAGGACGAAAACAATACCCTGTCGAGCGGCACATCCCCGTATAGGCCATATAAGGGAGTACCCCCCCGATTTGAATAATCGCTTGTAAACAGGTCTTCTGGCGCTTGACTGATGAGCTTATTTAGCCGCAATGAAGACCTTTATTTTTCTAGAGAGCTCAAATAAAATGTTCTTGCATCAGAGGGCAAATCACGCTGACTAGAAACAATAACCGCAGAAAATTAACAAAAAACAACATAAGCTTTATTTGCATTACTGTATGAAATTATAGTGTTGCAAAAGCTTTAAGATGATGTTACAATTTATATCGTTTTTTTGGATTTGATTGTAGAATTTTTCCCTTGGTATTGAATCCTTTGGACAACGCAATAGAAAGTGAAATTCGTCTTCAATAATACCAGAGTTACAAACTGTGCAGACTCTATCGTTGTGGGGAGTTTGATTATATCTTCCAGTTTTAATCATGAGTTTGTGGTCGCTTTTTTTTTTTTTTTTTTTTTTTTTTTTTTTTATTTATTTATTTTTGCCTTACAGACATATATTAAATGTTTACAGTACTAAACACTACTGAAACTAAATACTACTAACAATATTCACTATACTTGCACTATTTACAATATTGGCTATATTGACAATACCATCCATACGATGCTCGTACTACTAATAATTACAATGGTTACACTACTTACAATTCTAGTACATCACACACACACACACACCCCCACATAAACGCACACACAAAAAAAAAAAAAAAAGTCAGAGGAGTTACTTTTCATGTCTATTTTATAGCTTTTCAATTCTGTATTTAATTATCATTTTACCAACGAAGTCTTGGAGGAGAATTGGTTTGTTGTGTAGTTTGTTGGCGTAGATGTAGTATCTCATAAACAACATGGTATAATTGAATTTCCTTACTAGTACCTTTTCATGTAAGTCCGAGAGGATGCCGAACAGTCTTTCTTCGCTAGATGGGTTGAGATTGATCTTGTTTTCTATATTGAACCAGTTGATAACCCGTTGAATGAAAATCTTGACGAAATGACAATCTCTAAAAGTATGATTAATAGAGTCTTTTTCACCACAATATATACATTCATCATCTTCCTTGATTCCATAGCGGTAAAGTTCCTTTTTGGTGACTACAATTCGGTGGATTAATTTATATTGAAATTCCTTTAATTTGGTCTCTCTACAGACGGTTTTTAGGGAGGTGAATATTTTTTCCCATTTATCTTCATCCAAGGAAAGATCTTTGCTCCATCTCTGTGGCCCAGAATGACCTGTTGTGTGGATTTTTGTGCATAATAACGTATAGAAGTCGCTAGTCTTGATTTTGTTCAGATATAGAGTTATCGATTCATTTAATTGTAGACTAAGATTAAAAACTGTGCAGACTCTATCGTTGTGGGGAGTTTGATTATATCTTCCAGTTTTAATCATGAGTTTGTGGTCGCTTATTATACGAATTTTCACTAAGTCTTTCCTATTAGTTGAATTCTAATTAACTCTAGATAACTTGAAATTTTATAATCATGTTTAAATATGCTGTAAAAGAGTAGTATCTTAGAATGATGGATTGTTTAAAAGCTAGCGAGGTACGAAAGGCTTGTTTCACAATAGTATCCTTGTTTTTACGCAGAATATACAATATGTAATATAATGTAGGATGTTTTTGTAAATATTAATAATTAATGGTAATCGTCCCAATTCACTTCTACTTGCAACATTTGAAGGTTAATTGCTTATTTCTAAGTAACGCTTGCAAAATTTCAAGGGTTTTTTTCAATTGGGGTATTGTCCCAAGCTTTAAAATCATGTTTTACATGTAGCGTCAAATTTCGCCATTATATGATAGTATTGGGGAAATCATCCCTTCAAATATTTTGCAAGCAAGGCGGTTTTAATTTGCTAACGTTTGTGTGTTTTCTTAAACCAAAAATAGCATAAAGAGCCTGCTCTTTCAAGTGTCAGTGTGAGATAATATATAGATTTAGCCAGGGCTTAAAGCGAAGCTCTCTTTCATATTTATAGTTTCCTCAAAGAAAATATAAAATCGGGTAATAGCGGAGGTCCGCGCGAAGCGCGCCAGCGGAGCACCATGGGTAAATAAATCTATCCATACCAGAAAATTTGGTAATCACGTGACCGACCGACCGTCCGTCCGCACCACAGGCTTACCAATGAGTACTCTCACACTTTCTAGCTACTTTGGAAGCCCAGGAGAAAGCTGATTGCACATCAATGTTGTCATCAATTGACAGCTGTCTGAGGTCAATTTGTAATCAAAATCGTAATAGTGCAGGGCGATACTGACATAAACACAACACATTTGATATTCATACAGCCCTGGTGTACGCCTCGTAAACAAGACCAGGGCGTGAAAATTTTAGCGAAATTAAGCCCCTGGTTCTAACACACGCTCGACAGAGTCAGGTAACAAAAAATTGCCGTAAAACAACTTCTGCTCTGGAGCCAGAAAACATAGTGGAAAGAAGACCAGGGCGTGAAAAATTTAGCGAAATTGAGTTCCTGGTTCCAACACACGCTCGACAGAGTCAGGTACACAAATTGGCGGCAAAACAACTTCTTCTCTGGAGCCACACAACACATTTATATAGAACAAAACCTGTGGATTTTGCTAAAAACAACAAAGAAAGCATAAGCCAAAAAATAGCTGAGACATGAGAATGCGGCCATTTATAATAACACGTACCTTAAAAACCAAACGGGAATAGCAGCATGCAAGTAAAGCAAATTCATGTACCGACTCTGCATGAATAAAACTAGGAAGCACGAAGACTTAACAGCGTAGGACAAAGAAGGCATATGAAACGAAAAAGCTGAAAACCCAGCACACGGAAGTAAGAAACCGCGGACATACTGCAAGAACCAGGGCGGATAAAGGTTGGACAGTGAAACGAGCGCTCCGCTCTTCCCTCAATGAGTGATACGGAGTAGGACTGGCACGAGCGCTCTTTCCGCGCTTCCGGTACGCTTGAAGGCCGGTGAAATTTTCCTTTGTGCAAACCGGAAATCCTATTTTCTTTCTGTAATTTGAGGCTACAATGTTAAATAGATAAATTTGTTTCACAAAACCAATTAATAAACAGTTTCATATGTTAATGTTTGTTTGCCTAAAAGTCAAACTTGTTGGTCGTGTAATGCCAAAATTTGAGTGTTGAATTGCTCCTCCTTCCGCTAAATATGACTTAATCATCTTTCGCCGTTTCGTTTGCAAAAGCTTAACACTTCTTAACCGTAATTTTACATATGTTAAAGGGGGGATAAATTTTACGTAACATAACAAAAAATTAGCTTGATATGTTTTGATATAGTGGCGTTGTACTACTTCAAACATTGTTTCTCGGGAGCAATGCGCCATGGCGACTCGCGCAATTCGTCGCAAAGCCGGCAACCGCATGTAAACAAGATTTATTGAGGTTAATTGTAATAAGGTTTTTTTCTCGGTTTTTCTCTCTAAAATAAAACAAAGTAAACAGTAAACACTGAGGGCGCTAATTTTGAAGTTCCGAAGAAACAGAAAGACGTACGAGATGTTAGTTTCAAAATTAAAAAGAAGGATGATGGTGATTGAAATTAGCATAATTACACCTTGCACGAGCTGCACGCATTTATAAAATACATGCATCATCTAGTTATGAAAAACCATCTGCTGTCTTTTGGTTTTGCCATGGATGACATGGATGAGATTTTCCTTCGTGTTTTAGACAGTATTTAGTTTTTTTTTGTTTTGGAATAACATCGACATTGACGTAGTGGTGGAGTCATGGAAGTAACCAGAGAAACCATTTGAAAGAGATGTTTGTTTAGAGTGTTTTCACATGACGTCACGGCGGCCATATTGGTGTCCCAAAACAATGAAACGGCGGCCATGTTGGTGTCCCAAACCAGTCCTGTGGGAGTTGAACTCTTTTCTTATGCAAACGCTTTCTTTTGTTCCAATAAATTTACATAGATGCTGGCCACGTGAGTGAAAACACTCTTTACTCCAACTAAACCTCCCGCAAAAAAAATAGCAACATTTGCCTCTTGGAGACAGCGCACCAGCACAAAGGAACGAGGAAGAAAAGTGTAAGAAAACAACTCAATTCTCAAGCCGCCATAATTGAGTGACAGCGGCAGTGTCTAAAGCACAAACCACATCGCAAGGCCTGACCGAAGTCGAAAACAGGCGACATTTCTAAACAGAGTCCCAGTCCACTGCATCACACCTTTTTTGCTTGGACGCTCTCGTTTCACCGCCCAATCTCTATCCGCTCTGGCGAGAACTGAACAAGAACTGACTGCTATCCCGTTAGAACCGCTCAATAAGGTTGAAGAGAAAACCGAAGCCAGCAAATGTACCACTCGCGGGATCCATAAGAAGGAAATGCTGAAACTAGGGAATGGCAACCTGAAAGATAGAGCGGTGCTGTGAGGACAATATAGGAAAAGACGCGACTTACGCGCCAGTAATCCGACGGGGAATTAGACTCTCTTGTAAGACTGAAATCCCGGGAGCGGATGCAGGAAAATAATAACAAGGAAAGCATTGAAAACAAATACAACCTAAGCAAAGAATACAACTAAGAAAATACTGCAAACAAAAGGGAAAAAGTACAAAGAGTACTGACCTTGAAAATGTAACCAATAAAACCTCGGTTGCAAAATGAGATACTTGCCGCGAGCATAGCCCAAGAAATTGAGAAGATGGAAATAAAAACAGGAGGCAGAAAGGAAGCTGTGAATGCCAATGAAGAAACAAGGGGAAAGGCGAAAGGATGAGAAGGGAAGGATTTTGACGAGCACGTTTAATGAGGCCATGATGAGACCTATGTGTCTTGTCTCGAAGATGTTAATGAATGCATGGTGTATGTGTCTTAGGCTGCGCGCACCAACAATGTTGAGAGTTGTTGCGTCCGTGTTGGCAGTGGTGTGCAAACGGATGCAACAACTCCCAACAATGTTCGGACGTGCAGTGCATCGTGGGAAGGATACATCCCATAAGTCTTTGTAAACCATGCGTAATGAGCGTGCGTGGCCCCAACAACGTTGAAAGAGCTGTGCAAACGAATCCAACATTGTTGCGCTACGCTTCGGCGATCACGAAACAAAAGAAATGTTGGGAGTTGTTGGCTGAAAAGTTTGACCGGTTTCAAACTTTGCGCAACAACACGCAACAACATCCAACAACATGCAACACGGTGTGCAAACGGACGCAACATGTAACATCCAACAATGTTGGGAGCTGTTGGCCAACAATGTTGCGTCCGTTTGCACGGGGCTTTATATAGTCGCTTGGGCAAGACCGCTGTAAATGGCTAAAAGATCTTGTTTGACTCATTCCTCAGGCTTTTAGGGCACGCGAAGAGTTTGAATATAGCTTTTTGATTAACTTATAGAAACATTAGTCCTACACCAATTTGTAATAATTTATGTAAAAGTCCGTTATCCCACACTGAGTCAAAGGCTTTTTTATAGTCAACAAAACAAGCGTATACTTTTTCACTGTGACAGTGTACGTACTTGTCTATAAGAGTTCGTAAGGTTAGGAGGTGGTCTGATGTTCGATTTGTCAGTAAGAAGCCGATTTGAGACTTGTGAAGTATGTTCAGGGAAAAAACGTGTTCAAGGAGTCTTTGGTTTAAAACTGAAAAGAATAGCTTTCCTAAACAACTAGAAACACAAATCCCGCGGTAATTTGATGGATCATTCCTTACGTCAGATTTAAAATATGGGAGTTATAAGACCGTTGAACCAATTTTTATACACTATTCCTAAGTTGAGAACAATATTAAAAAGTTTGTGGTGAACAGGTGGCATTGTTGGTAAGCTAGCTTTAATCATTTCGTTTCTTATTTTGTCGGAGTATGCAGATTTTTTATTCCTTAATTTTCTTGCTGCGTTGCTTATTGCTTCAATATGCGTGTAACGACCTCTCAGTATAAAATAAGCGGCAAAAATCACATTTGCTCAGTCAAAACTTTACTGTCCAGAGCATTATTTACCCGCCAGAAAAACAACTCATTGGAACAAGCAGCCTTTTTTTTTTTTTTTTTTCGCATCAGGTAGAAGGTAGAACTTCTAGTTTTACACGCGAAATTGACAACATTCCAATGTATCTAAGTGACAGATAGTGATCTTGCTGACAGATGATCAACAACCCGGGGCCGAGGGTACTCCCTCAGCCATATAGATATGTGCCACCCTAAGTGGTATGGCTTTTGGGCCTTTTTGGTCTGAAAACGGGTATACACTTTGCCCATTTTGGTCTGGAATGTGGTTTTGGAGCGAAATACGGGAATGTATGAACGTAATTATCGAATATGCGAATTCGAAGTGCTTTTGGAGAAATTTTTTGTTTGCGCTCTAATCTGAGAAACGAGGATATAACTTCTGCCTTAAGACCAGGTCTGAAAACGGTTAAGGATTTTAGAGGTCTGGTCTGAAAACTACTGGTGTGGAAAATAGCATTTTTTGGTCCGAGATAGGATCAGGATTTGGAGAACCGGGCTGCACACCCCCATCAACAATTCCCAGGAGTACCCCACCGGATCGAAAATTACAAGACAAGAGGGCGGAATAGCGGCCTCAAACGTTTGTCTACAGTCTCTACAGGCTCTTCCCTTAACCCTTTTCTCTCCTCGCGATTTTTTTACCCTTTTCCCAAACTAGGCTACCAAACTTGTTGACGATAAGACAAAAGCTTTTGTCTTACTACCAAGAGACGATTGGCTCGGGCTGACATGGAAAATGCACATGTCAAACAGGCGTTTTAATTTACAGTTTACTTTAACATTTTGTCTTATCGCCTATCGAGCCAGCGCCCTGTTGAGCTTCCAGTCGTTCACTCAGGTTCACTGACTTCAGCGAATATCTTACCACGATTGTAGCGAAAAATGAACTTTCTCCCGTTCACAGCTTTTGCAATTATTATAGTTGCAGGCATTCAAGGAGGTAAGTTCTTACGATTGTTGCATGCACGTCTTAGAAACAATCATATTTTGGCCTCGAATTTTGTAAACGGCCTTTTTGATAAAAATCTAGCTCGGATTCTCGATTTCACTGGACTTAAATTAAAAGCATTTCAAGTTCTTGATTTTACCCCCCAAGCAATTAGTCTCTTTATACTTATATTTCCTCAACTTAGTTCAGAAGCGTTCAGAGTGGTCCCCAACAATTCACTAAGTAAGGCGCTTGAAATCTGTACATCATAAATTAATACATGTCGCAATGATTTGTTTATATCCGATATTGGCAGCGATGACTAGAATGTTTCCTTTTCCCTTGTCACGCTTAGTAATATAACTTGATGTTCGCTTTTGGAACACCTATAAAGTCAGCGCACGGACGCTCAAAAAGTGAGTTTGCGGCGTGAGTACTGCGTAGTACAATACGTAGTACGTACTATGCATTGTACTACTCGACCAAGCTAAGCGAAAGACTTCGTAAACGCTAAAAGCCATGCAAGAGAGAAACCTCTGCTCGCAGGGTTGCAGTATAGTAATTGCATGGGAGAGGTCGTAATAAAAACGTTGTAAGATAACATCATTGTTACACCAAAGCTGACTGGAGTAGCCGACTCAGTGACTGAAGACCAATAACATAACATTTATTCCAAAACGTAATTTCTCTGCTGTTACGCACAAAATGTACCTTGAATCCCGGCGGATTTAAACACATCGCTCACATCGCTTTTAAACACTCGCTCCCTACTTGTTGGAGGCCAGGCCGATAGAAATCAAAGTCACAGAAAAAAATAATGAATCGACTATTATCGATCACAGAAATCGATAACAATCGTTAGTAATCGATAACAAGCAATAATCTTGGTGAGTATATGGTTCAGATATTCTGAACATGACGAAGGTATTAATTTGGCAAACCGGCTTAAGCTTAACACATTATATTTCTTAGTTCAGCAACTACTCAAGGCGTAGTCTTCATTGCGTTCCATGTTTTTGTTTCTTTGGTTTTAATCGATCTTTACATGTCCATTCAATCCAATGCCCTCGACTGCCTCTTGCATTTCTTCTTTCTTGCAATCCCGCTCACATTGGAATCCAATTCAATGCGGTATATTTCACCTTCACCTACACCTATCCTCTTCGTGCCAGTTGTGGCACATAAGGCCTTCACAGAGTCCTTCCACTTATCTCGGTTACCCACAACAGTCTTCACTTCCTCCCACGATCGCCATCCCGCTTTCATCCGTTTGTAGAAGGCCTAAATGTAATAAAGTCCTAAATGTAATAACTTTTTGTCCTTAATGTAATAACTATTTGCCCTAAATGTAATAAACTCTTAAGCTGCCAATTACAGTAATTACTCGAATAAACGCCGCCCTCAAGTAAGCACCGCATTTGGGGGTTAATTAGCGCCGCGGCGCTTATTGGTTTAAATACGGTACTAAGTGGTATTACTATGGTATTAAGCTCCGCTCTCAAATAAGCGCCGTATTTTTGGAGAAATAAGTTAATAAGCGCCGCGGCGCTAATTCGCATAAATTCTGTACATTTCCTTATGCACTGTGGAACTTAACGTTATTGCTTGTAAACGGCAAAGTAACAGTATTTTTTCTAAAAAAGCAATATTTAAGCAGTAGAAAACTTTTTTCCTGTGTTTGAATAGCCTGATCATTATGCAAACCCTCGACGTTGTCTCGGGTTTGCATAACTGTTAAGATCGAGTGTTTATATCAGGCTATGCAAACACAGAAAAAAAGTTTTCTATTGCTTTTATAAATAACTTTCTCGAGAAAGAAGAAAAACTCTTTGTTTAGGTTACTGATTAAAAGAGAAATTCTTACCAGTCGCGAAGTCTTGTACACGAAGCTTAATGTACGAGTAATCAGTTCTTGTTTTGCAATAAAGATGCTTTCCATAAAAGGGTTTTTCTCGCTTAAAATGTCAGCTTAAGCGAAAAAAAATTGGCACAGCATGTTTGTAAAGATTTTCCAAGTTTCATCCGACGAGAGAATCGGTAGATGAATTAAATTTGTCGAGTTTTCAACTCGAAAACATTTTAAAATTCGTGCTTGTGTGATTAGCTCGCGAAAAGCAGAACATCTTGACTCCACACATGTTTACATACTCTCCTGCAAACACATCTCTCGGCCAATCAGAGCGCGCGTGTACTATCTTAATTACTTATGAACGTTGTTATCGGCTGTGCAGTAGTCTTTAGGGCCTGCTTACATGGAGGTGGGGGACGGCCAGGTAGGTGAGGTGACGTGCGGCGGGTCACCCCACCTATCATGTAAACGTGACCAAATTAAAATGAGAGATTATGTGGACAGGCGGGTTACCCGCCAAAGCGGGTTACCTCACCTACCACCTCCATGTAAACGAGGCCCTTAAACTTCTCTTTTTTTGTTCTTAATATTTTGGCTGATTAGATCTCTTTTCTAGAGATCCTACTTTGACAAGTAACAGGATCTTCATTCACGGTTTTTGCAGTAAATTTCTTTAACAAAAATGAAGCCTGATGACAAACTTTTTAGGGCTTACAAGTTTTTATTTTTATTTTTTCCTTTTACAAGCAATTTATTTGTAAACGTTAAGTTACACAGTGCATAAGGAAATGTACCGAAGCTTATTAAATTTTTCTCCAAAAATGCGGTGCTTATTTGAGGGCGGCGCTTAAAACCATAGTAATACCTCTTAGTACCGTATTTACGCGAATAAGTGCCGGAGCGCTTAAATATTACATTCCCCCCTCCCAAAATGGGGCGCTTTTTTGAGCAATTACTGTAATTTGCAACTTAAGAGTTTATTACATTTAGGACAAAATGTTATTACATTTAGGGCTTTATTACATTTAGGACAAAATGTTATTACAGTTAGGACTTTATTACATTTAGGGTCGTTTATTACATTTTGGCCTTCTACACCGTTCTCCTCCAGGTGAGTTTTTGGTCTTCCTTTTGATTCTGTCTTAGTATAATGTCTAATCACCTTCCATCTACGCTCCCTGGTGGGGAGGGGTACTCCCTATAATGGCCTATACGGGGAGGCTCCGCCCGAAAGAGGTACCTTTGTCAGGCATCAGGTATACTCGTTGAAGTATATGAAAGGGTAGGGGAATCTGTCATTTGGGTCTGTAAAAGCGCCCAAAGTTTATAGCTTTATAAAGCCGGGAAAGCGTTCTGTTTTTTTTATTGTTTCCTATTTAAATGACAAAGCATTTACAGCAGTTAAAAGGGATGTAAAGTTCTAAACAAGGTCTGTGAAAGGGGTATCATTTGTCAATAGAAGGTATATGAAAGGGGTACCTTTTTCGTGAAAAATGGTATATAAAAGGGTAAGGTGTTGGACCTCGAGGCGGAGCCTCCCCGTCTAAACATTTGTTAAGTACCCCCCGGTCTACGCTGCTTCACCTCTTTACTCATTGGTTTCATGTCTGCTCTTTCTAACAGCTCTTCAGTACTGACATGGTCCAAGAGAGTTCTCTCTTGCATGGTCCTGCCACTGGATCTGTAGGATTCTTCGTAGACACTTGTTATAAAACACTTCTACTGCTCTGTCATCCCCCTTGTTCATTACCCATGTTTCACACCCGTACGGCAGAACTGGCACTACCAGTGTTTTATACAGTCTCAGTTTAATTGTTCTTCGTAGGATGGTTTTTGAACGCCAAATCCAATTTAATCTGACAAATGCACTCCTTGCTTTTGAGGGTCTGTTTTTCAGGTCCATCATACCACCTCCCTCTTTACAAACTGTGGCTCCCAAGTAAGTGAACTCATCCACTTCTGCTATTCCTTGTCCAGCTATCATAATCAGTTCCTGGTTCTTTTGCATTAATTCTCATTACCTAAATTGTTGTCTTCTCCATGTTGATTTTTAATCCTACTCGTCTGGCTTCTTCATCCATTCTTGCTGTTTTACCCTCGATCTGCTGTTTGGTAGAGGATATTAACACTACATAGCACATACTCACCGCGTGTTTTCGCTTGCTGTTTGGAATAGAACCGTGCCTGAATTATCATTTCACCATCAGGGGTCTTGCGGCACTTCTTGACATCAGTATACCTACTCCTTCTCAATGATTTTCGTCATCTCTTCCGGAGTAACTGATGGTTTCAGTCCTTCTGTCAGTTGCATTTTTCCTTGCTCTGTCCAGTGTGTTTCGCTGATACCCATGATGTCTATGTTACTACTGGTCATTTCTCTAGCTAACTGCGCAATACTGCCACTTCTGTGCAGTGTGCGTACATTCCAGTTTCCGATCTTCGTAATGTTTTGGGGGTGACCCAGTGGTCTATTCAGCTCGGTGGCGTCCTGTTGGCTTTTGCCTCCACGCGTCATAGAGTTACTCCTGTTATGAGAACCGGCCACAGTGTTACCTTGATAATGTGAATTTTCTCTTCTTCTGGTTTTTGTAATAACAGGGATTTACGGGAGAGGGTTTTCAGCCCTCGGCCCAACCCCCAACCTGAAGGACCAGGGGACCACACTAGTCCAGTCTCTATCCCTCGACCTGTTCGGCATGGGTGGCCCTAACAGGAGTCGAAGACTCCAGCTGACATACTTCTATAATGGGTCATTGAGACACAAACCACTCCACCACGGTAAGGTGGTGCTCCCTTTCGAAGTGGTAAATGCGGTATATATGTTGTGGTTCAAGTTCATCCTTAGTTGAATTTAAACCAAGGATAAAACTGAACCACGACATAGACAAAAAGAATAAAGCTAAAACTTTTTAAGCTGTCATATCTGAATTCAAATTTCGCACTAACCTTGGGTTATCTTAACTCTGTTTCTTTTCATTAATTTTGTACATTTTACCGGTGCATTTTTCACCTCACATGGGAGGAGATTTACTCAATTTTATTTAATTTTACCGCGCTAGCTTTTTACCAATGGGCAATTGGTAGATGGCTAACTGACAAATCAGAGCGCGCGCTTTGCTTTTGTTATGTTATAAATCCAACTTTATAAAGTTTCCTCCGTTTTCAACGTTCGTTGTAATTATAAAGTAATAGCGAAAAATTAAGCATTTTTGTTATAACCAAACAAACCGAAGTGGGAAGATCTCTCTCGCTATAACAAGACATACCATGGGTGTCAAATTACTCCTTAATTCTAGCGCCAATACTTTAGCGTTAATTTATAATTTCGCATGTGAAATCACAAAATTGTCATGACAACATTCCGTATGTCTCGGTGCCAATATGACGCCAAAGTTGTAAAATCCTCTTGTGAAGTTTGGGGGCACTCAATATGAATTCCAAACTTCCCCGGGTGCTTCAATAACTCGACTTCTGTATTGCTTAAAGGATTAACAAGTTCTTGATAAATACCAACACAGTATTCAAACAAAAACAGCCGGTTTTTTTAGGTTTTATATAGCGTGCGAGGGCAACACGCAAAGGGGAGAGGAGGCAAAACAGTGTCAGACCATTGATTTTATTTGCCTTTGTTTTTATCCTGAGCTATAATACAATAGAGTATGGTAGCTGAAATCCAGTATGTAGTAATCAAGCATTTTATGTCATTTGTAGACGTTTACGTAACTAGACTGTTGATGTTGCCTAGCAATGGCCAGCTGGTTTGCCTCCGGTATTTAGTGTTTCAGGCATTTGCTTGGCCCCACTAGCACTCGTGCTATTTTAATGCTGCCGGGGGTAAATAACGGAATTATTTTATTTTATTTTTTATTGAAGATTTTTGTTTTATGGAGTGCCTTTATCTGTTTTTAAAATGTATTACAGGTTTGATTTATTTAGTATTGTAGGTAAGCTCTCTCTCTAAAGTGCCTCTGAAATTCTTCCACCTTTTAAGAAACGTTCTTCAGATGAATTTGTTCTGACTTACCCTGCAGGCAGAGATCTTTTTCTGTTGCTTCTGGCATGACTAATCATTTACTAAGTCGTTTGCGTGACTTGTCCTTCGCTCAGGGCGTAAACAAACCGACTGCGCGTCTGGCAAAAAACAAATTTGCACGTGCAACACACTTTTTTGTCTTTCCCTTGCCGTTGTTTGTACGACTACGACGCTGTTTTGTACGACTAAAACGTCAAACGTTCTAATTACACATTATTTTTAAGGAGGAATCGTCGTATGTTGTTTACCCAATATTTTGTTTCCTGCGTTCATGTTCGCTTTTATTTTTCACTGCCGCTCATTTTCACCTTGCTGACCGCTAGCATTTCTCATTTTCTTACCGCCGCTTTGAATGTCCATGTTTTTCTTCCTACGAAATTCGTCTCCTTTTTTTTCAATAACTCGCTCTAGCTCTTTCTCAGTTATCCACGTTAGTGTAAACATGAAAAATAACGCCGAAAAAGACACGACTTTGTTGTTGTTTTTTTCTTTCTAAAAGTCCGGGCGGCCATGTGATTTCCTTCCAAATAAAACCTTGAGTTGCATTTGGGGTGCCATACCTGTTGATTGAGTTATTCTACATTGGTATGCCTGTGGAGCGGACGGACGGTCGGGTAGGCAGGCGGTCGGTCGGTGTACGGTCACGTGATTACCAAATTTTCTCGGGTGGGTAGATTGCCACACTTCCTTAGCTATGGGGCTCTGCCCACGCGCGGCGCGGCGAAAACCAGTTGAGACACTTCTGACGTATTTAGAATCCTTTTGCCTTTATTTCCCCTGTTGAATGGTTCAAGCCTGCAAACTACTAAACGCGCTAGATGTTTGGTTCGTTTGTTTCACTCGTGTTAATTTTTTTTGTTTTTTTTTTTTTCGCTGCTCCACAGTAGCCCTTCCCCTGAAAAAACATCGAGGATCCCGCTTTTGTTTAAGGGGAGTGCTCTGGGCTGCTCCTGCACATAGGCTATCTGTTTAGTAATGATCGGAAACAGCACTTGCTATATTGTCATCTGCCGTTCGAGCTGCGAGAAAATCTCCTGATGAGTGTAGTGTGTTATTAATTAAAGACGACTTCTTTCGGCAAAACGCTCAATTAATTTCCAAAAGCAATACACAGACCTTATCATGGTTTTAAAGCCACCTTTTCGCCTCTCAATCGCCCGTTTCGTGCACGGCGCTACATAGCTACATTTCAAGAATTTCTTGCTCATAGGTACTGAGCAACTGATTTTGAAGCTGTAACTTAAAAATTTAATTGCTATTTTTTTCTCTTTTTAGCTCTGGCCTTGAAATGCTACCAGTGCACGCCAGACCTGACGAATATTGCTCAGAAAGGTAACATCGTGAGCGTTTGTGCTAATCCCAGTAAAACTATCGATTGCAGTCAAGATCCATTAATTGGAAAAATAGCTGATTCCTGTTACACAGCCCGTATAACAGCCAGTATCAATCCCGCATCATTAAACGCATCACTTCCCAAAAGCGACATCGAAGTCTATGTCCTCAACTGTTCCGTAATGTCACTGTGTAGCACGCGTAAGACACAAGCTTGCCAAGACGTGCAGACAGCCTTACAAGGTATTCCTATGTTGCAACTAAAAAGTTGCGACGTCACATGCTGCGAGGGAGATCTCTGCAATGATCCATCCCCATCATCAACTGTGCCGAGCAGTGTTCCACCAGCAACAGCTCTGTTTGGAATTCTGGTTTTGATGGCTTTCACTGTTGTGAACGTTCAGAGAAGTGGGCATTGTCTCATGGAATAGAGAGAGAGACAGCACTTTCATTTGTTTTTTCTTTTATTTTTGTGGGGTAGACGTAAACAAAAATCTGATTCTGTAAAGTTATCGAATATTGCCTCTTTAACTCCAGATTGCCAATTGATAGGAGACGAAACCTTTGCACCAAAAGCCTTGAGATGACTTTATCGTGTTTCTGAACAAACGTACCCGCCGGTCTTTTCCCTGCCAGCGGAGGTCTGTCACGGCGACAGAAAAATTATAGGAAAGAGAAAGAGCTCTGCAGGTGCCCACTACGTTTTTGATTGGCCATGGCGTCTCCTTAACAACCACTAGCGTTCTTGTCACGTGTGACAAAACTTACAGAACCGCTTTGCTCCATAACAACTGTGGGCTCAGAAATTTCTATTGCGCAGTCTTACCGGGCACGCGCATTCCACATTAAACGAAACCGGTTTTGAAAACTAGAAAGTTTCGACCACAAATATGGTCGGCAGCTACATGAAAGAACGCGTCCTGGGCCGGCAGGGGTCTCTCTATTTCCTCTCCTTATTCGGTTGCCGTGAGGGACCTCTAGCTGCTAGCAGGGAACTCCGTCTTTTACACCAAAAACACGTCGACTTGTTGTAACAGTCCTCACCTTTACATCGACAGTCAGTGAAATCGTACTAAAAGATTCGAACAACTTTTTGCCATTAAAAGAATGTTGCAAATTACTAGAATCAGCTTATGCCAAACAGTTTTTGTCTATTAGTCAAACCGCGTTTTATCTCCTGCCACTGTGTGTTACCCCTTTACTTCGATTTCATGTCAATTCTCTTTGCAAAAGCAACAGAACAGTCGAGCGTATTTTCACCATCGGGGTCGCTGTATTCTCAGAAATCAGTTCCCATGATTTAGAACAAGATGAGTTGTATAGTATTTGAGTTTTAAAGGATTTATAGTTTTTGTTGTAGAAGTTTCCACTTAAAAAATAAACTTTGTCTGCATGAAATGGCACAAGTTTGCTGCTCTTTTCCGTTTTTCCCTGGGAGTTGGTACTGCCCTACAAGGGATCTTAAGCAACGAGGACGACAACGGTAACGACTTGGAATTGTAAAAAAGCAATATATTTTGAGATTACGAACGGACCATTAGAAAAGTTATGGAGGGAGGGCGAAGTAAAAATTATACATTAGTGTAAGGGAGAATTAAATGAAAAAAATCATTCATGCCAAGTAACCCTAAAAAAATATTCATGCACTGGTCTAGAAAAATCATACAAGGGAAGTGTTAAATGAAATTTCACCCTTGCTATTTAAGTTACACATAACACAGCTTTACTGTCGAAAGGAAAAAGAAAAATTTGAAAAAAATAAATTCCTAGCTGCGCAAAAACCCGGAAAACAGTTTTTTGACGCCAAAAGATGTCACGTGATCAATTTTTTTGGTTTGCTCATTAGTGCTTTTGAGTCAAAAAAAAAAAATCTAAACTGATAAAGTTTTTGGCCAACTATAAAGGGTTTGTGTCACCGGAAAATCAGCTTATTTGACAAAAAACTGTGAAAAAAATATCAGAGGGATCGTTTTTTAAGGAAAAGTATGGTTCCGGGGGTGCAATCAAATTTCTTTGAAGTCCAATAACTCGGGTTTTACGTGTCGTAGCCAGAAACGGTTTTCGCTGTTTTACTCCTCTTCTAAAGCTCTTTCAAATAGTGTAAGTTTTACTTCTGGGATAAAAGTCAGGTTGACAAAGCGAGCCAACCCAGCACTTGTAATCAGCCCCATAGAGTGGTTTAGTTGAAACTAAAGGTTCTTCGCTAGGCTGCAATATTGTTGCTGCAGTTCATTTTCGCGCCTCGTGGTTTCATCGTTCATGTCCAGTTCATCCTTGAGACTGTTTAACTAAACGAGGTTGAGAGATTTATGAGCTATTAATTACTAAGAGAGGGGCCGCGAGTCGCTTTTTGTAGAAAAAACCCTGAAAGAAATGAAAAAAGACAAACGCAACAAAAAACATTTCTGCCTTCCTCACCACTCTCGCGTGACAATGGATGCTTGTATGTACTCGCGAGCTGCAATCAGTTTGTTAAAGAAAATTATGAATTATCCGCCTCTTAAACAAAGATTTCTTTATTACATTGCTTTGATATGTGGCCAGTAATTAATTATGCGAGTGTCCTCTGGACAAATTGTGATAAAGAAAGTCTTGAGAGAGTCCTGAAGCTCCGGAAAAGAGCATCTAGAGTGATGATGAATGCCCATCCTCAAGCACCATCAGTTCCCTTGTTTAATCTGCTGAATATATGGTTGCATTTTTATGAAGAGGCTTTAATATCTAAATGTCTCATTGCTTATAAGTGACGTTCATGTTTATGTGAACAATCTACTTAAATTAAACAGTAACATCCACAGCAGGCAAACCAAATACTGTAATTTTAACCCAACGTCTCCAAGGTATAATCGGGAAACAGAAGGAGGAAGAACTTTTACCATCACAACTTGCAAAAGCATGGAACAGTTTACCTTTGCCTTTAAGACAAAGAGACTCAGTGGATTCTTTCAAAAAAGCATTGTGGAATGAGTTTTTCACAGAACAGCAGACTCTTGATTTTTTTCTTTTTAAGTTGCTCGTCAAGTTGTGACTAGATTATAATGCTAAATTTTAT